GAAACTTGTGTTAGTCTTCTGACAGAAGCTCTCTATACTTAGGACTGACCTGTTAATAAAATTAAGGTGTGAAATTCTGTTAGCTAAGAAAGCATTAATTTGGTGACAATACTTAAACTTTTGGTCTATGTCATCCTGGTATTTTTTAGTTGCTGTTTGTTTATTTCTTCTAGCTACTCTCTATTCCTAAGCATTTTCTCAGCTATCTTTGTGAGATACTACAGCTAATTACTAAACTGCGTCTCCCTTCTGTAATCTGGAATATGAATGAGGTGTCATTTCTTACAATTATGTGATTTGCTCTGCAGTCAACTTTTAGCAAAGTTTACAGCTTTTGGGATTTTTCTTTTTTTATACGAAACTATAGTCCTAATGCCTATTAATAATTTCAAGTACCAATCATGAATTCTTTTCCACTATAACTTTTCATCTTGATCTTAATCCTGCTGATGCTCATAGACCTGCTATAATCTGATAATAATAGATAAAACAATAATATTTCTTCTGAACTAGTACTCTTCCCAAACCATCTTTGTTAGGGATGTGAATCATAGAATCATAGAATCCTTTAGGTTGGAAGAGACCTTTAAAATCATCAAGTCCAACCATTAAGCCATTAGGGCTCTAAAGTCCTCTGCCAAAACAGATCAGAATCTGTCAGGGTTGGAAGGGACAACAAGGATCACCCAGTTCCAACCTCCAACCCCTCTGCCATGAGCAGGGACACCTCCCACTAGATCAGGCTGCCCAGAGCCTCCTCCAGCCTGGCCTTAAAGACCCCCAGGGATGGGGCCTCAACCACCTCCCTGGGCAACCCATTCCAGGGTCTCACCACTCTCATGGTGAAGAACTTCTTCCTCATGTCCAGCCTGAATCTGCCCACTTCCAGCTTTGCCCCATTCCCCCTAGTCCTGTTATTACCCGATAACAAAAAGTCTAAAAAGTCCCTCCCCAGCTTTCTTGTAGGCCCCTCCCTGAGATACTGAAAGACCACAATAAGGTCACCTCGGAGCCTTCTCTTCTCCAGACTGAACAGCCCCAACTCTCTCAGTCTGTCCTCACAGCCGAGCTGCTCCAGCCCTCGGATCATTCTGGTGGCCCTTCTCTGGACACGCTCCAGCAGGTCCACGTCCCTCTTGTACTGGGGGCTCCAGAACTGGATGCAGTACTCCAGGTGGGGGCTCACCAGAGCAGAGTAGAGGGGGAGAATCACCTCCCTCGACCTCCTGGCCACACTTCTCTTGCTGCAGCCCAGGGTCTGGTTGGCTTTCTGGGCTGCAAGTGCACACTGCTGGCTCATGTTGAGCTTCTCATCCACCAGCACCCCCAAGTCCCTCTCCTCAGAGCTGCTCTCCAGCCAGTCCCTGCCCAGCCTGTATTGGTGCCTGGGATTGCCTCGACCCAGATGCAGGACCTTGCACTTGGCCTTGTTGAACCTCATGAGGTTGGCTTGTGCCCACCCCTCCAGCCTGTCCCGGTCCCTCTGGATGGCCTCCCTTCCCTCCAGCGTGTCAGCCACACCACACAGCTCGGTGTCATCGGCAAACTTGCTGAGGGTGCACTCAGTCCCCTTATCCATGTCCCCGACAGAGATGTTAAACAAGACTGGCCCCAGGACTGACCCCTGACTGTGTCACCCACCAAACTGTGTGGTTTTGATTTCACTAGGTGTACTTCTTGATAGAGCTGCTTGTTTCCTTTGTTGATGGTGTTGCAGGCTGTGTTGTGGACATTGGTGGTAGTGCTTATGATCTCTTTATGCTTTGAAGTTATAGAAAAAGGAAATCAGAAAAAACACTGGTGTATTTAGAGCCTTGTTTAAGCTACTGAATTTTTACTTATGTAAAAATTACCTAAGTTGCTTTTTCAGCCAGTTTAAGAGCTCTTCTCGGAAACATTTTGGATTGCAGCTCAGTCTCATAACTCTGTATCTGAACAGCTTTCAGAGCTTCACTCAAAGCCTGTATGGAGAAAACAGCCCCCTTTACTGTTAATGCTCTTGATGTCAGTACAGGCTTCAAAACAGTCAACTTTTGTCTTCCATGTTCTTCTTCATCCTTCAGAAGGTTTGCTCTGTGGTGGGGTGTTTCACTTAAAGTTGTAGAAAGACTTCTGAGAGAAGGCAAAGCAAAAGTTTTATACTGCTTCAGAGTCTCCATGTGTATTTGTTTGCTCAATTCTTACAAACGGTCTAGCTTGATTTAGTTAGGCCTTGCAGGGAACGTGTCCTCTTGAAACTACCTCAAGGTGTCCTCAAGGAACAACTCTTCTTTAATTGTATCTGAAAAAAAAGCAATGAATCAGTTGGTACCCAGTTGTCTCCCTGTTTGTGACAAGGATGCTAGAATGTGTAAACTGAAGGCTACAGCTTTCGCTTTCCTTACAGCAAAAGCTTTTCTTTGTTGGGTGGTCTGTATAGCTCAGTCTCAAAACCCATTATCTGGAGGTTTTTCATCTAATTCTTGTCCTTCCATGCTCTGTATTTTCCTTCTACTTTATTTCCTTTTGGTTCTCTTTCACTTAGATATATGCTTATTTTGTATTTGCACATAGACCGTTCATAAATACTTAATACTCACTGAATGAATGGCTTAAGGGCAACATCTTCCAATGCATGCATGAGAAGGGTTTCTCCTTTCTTCTTTGCAAATAAAATATGTATATCTGCATTCATAATGTATTATTCTGCTTTTTGTAATAGAAATGTAAAATACTTGGGGCTTTTATGGTACTCTATAGCTTTGCTGGGGTTCTGAATGTTTTCTGTATTTATGTGCCACATCATGGGATATGTGTCTTGCTGGGTTCTTATGTCTCCAGTTTTTAAACTTTCCCATGTTTATCCCTTCCATGTTTATTTTTACTTAACTATGGTGTTTTGCAATATTCTTTTCTCTGAGGCTTTTGTTTGTGTTTGCATTTACTTACGCGGTTCTGGTTGGCATGTGAATGCCTTTGTAATCATATGGTGTACATTGCTAAATGTTTGTTCACATAGCTTTTTTTTTTTTTTTTTAGTATTTAATTTAAAATTTAAGAGTATAATCAGATTCACTGCAATCTGGTTCTCTTTCTAGAGTATACTTCTTCTAGGAATGTCTGAGTCACCCAAGTTTTTCTTTGTGAATTCTAAACCTCTCATTCTCTTTTCACCCCAGTCACGTTGAAGGTATTACACTTGGATTGGGCTTATGCACCATCTATCACCAACTGCAGGGCAAATTTTCCGTTTACCGTGGTTTTACTTGCCCCTGTGTAACCAACTTAAAGTTTAAAGTTTTCCAAATTGAAGTGGGGGATTCATTTATTGTAACTGGCAAAGCCTCACAATGTGCATACTCCTTTTACCCTGTTTGGAGACAGGTAGTGCTTTGATTAAATACTTACCATCTAGTAGTTGCTCTCCTAGCTTTACCTGTAATCCATTGCTTGCCTTCTGATGCTCTCCATGTTTCAGTTATTACTTAAGCTGTCCTAAAACTTGTATCAGTAATGATGCAAAATTATGCAATTACAATGCTGACATCTTTGTCATCTATAAATCGGACCAGGCTGTGGTATTTTTTTTTCTTCTTCTCTGCAGCAGGTTCTTGCTACTTTGAGTGAAAGTCAAAAGAAAGAGAGCAGTATAAATCTGCCTTTAAAATTTGTTCTCTTAATGTTACAAGATACTTCATATAGCATTTGGGTCTCTTTAAGTTTATACCAGACAGTTCTGTTAAATAAGCCTGTTACAGTCAGAAGCAGTTGGCACCTTCATTGATACCTTCTGGAGATCAGAAAATAAGTAAAAGTATATTTCACTGCATAATCTGAACACTTCTGTTTCTTTTACTCTATAGAGATGGTTCTTTTGGGCAATGTGGAGACAGGGGAGGGTGAGGCTGAGTAGCTTTAATTAAAATTACCTCTGTTGTTCTAGATTCTTTGTATGTACAAATTCATCTCCAGGAATGTCAGGCACCTGAATTGTCTCAAAAAAAAAAAGTGCAACTGAAAACCTTGTATGATCTTCATAATGAAATTCTAGCACTGGGTCTGGTATAACGTTAATGGTGGTAAAAGTGTGGTGTAAACAAGTAATGTAAAGCAAATCTTCCTGGGGTTACACTTTAAAGTTTTTAATTCAATTTACTGAAATTTTTTTCATAGATAATGTGAACCACAGCTGTAAAAAAAAAAAAAAAAAAAAAGGATGTTTCCGTATTTTGAAATAGTTGTTCTTGACCGAATATAAAATGAGTTTTAGAAGCTCTGACTCCTTGTAGCATTGTGATCACAGTCAGTCACCACTAACACCCCATCAGTGATTGTGTCCATAACAGGTTCAGTGTGAAAAATCATGTTACTGCAATAGAACAGTGCTTGGAGAGGGTGAGACCTTGAAGTATGAAGTGCTGCTCGCTGCTGGTGCCTGGAACTGCAGAAGGCTAATGGGAGAGAGCAATAGGCTGGAATCAGAGGGAAGGTATTTAGTTTTATGCTCCTGCTTAACTACCAATGCACGGAGTATGGGGAATAAGCAGGAGGAGTTGGAGGGCTGCGTTAGGTTGCATGACTATGATATAATTGCAGTCACTGAAACATGGTGGGACAGCTCCCATGGCTGGAATGTTGTCATGGATGGCTACATACTATTTAGGAAGGACAGCCCCAAAAGGCATTGCTGTGGTGCTGCTCTTTGTGTGAGAGAAATTGAAATGTATTGAGTTCTGTCTCGGGGCGGGGGGGGAGGTGGAACAGATTGAAAGCTTGTGGGTAAGAATTAAGGGACATGCAAAGGGGGGTGAAACTGTTGTGGGAGTTTACTATAGACCACCGAACCAAGAAGATGATGTTGATGAGGCCTTCTACAGACAACTGGAGGTAGCCTCTAGAACACACTGCTTGGTACTCATGGGGAACTTCAGCACCCAGATATTTGTGGGGAAGCCCACACAGCCAGGCAAGTTCAGTCAAAAAGGCTCTTGCAGTGCATTGATGATAACTTCTTAATGCAGGTAGTAGAGGAACCAATGAGAAGAGGCACACTGCTAGACCTTGTATTAACAAATAAAGAAGGGCTGGCTGGGGACATGAAGATTGGGAACAGCCACCACGACATGGTGGAGTTTAGCACTTTACAAGGTAGAAGCAAGGCAATAAGTAGGACTACAACCCTGGACTTCCGCAGGGCTAACTTTGCACTCTTCAAAGATCTGCTTGCAGGAATCCCATGGGCTAATACTCTAAAGGGTAAAGGGGCCCAAGAAAGTTGGTCAGTTATTAAAACCTTTTCCTCCAAGCCCAACATAGGTGTGTTCCCTTGAGTAAAAAATCCAGCAAATGAGCTGAGACACCTGCATGGATGAGCAGGGAGCTTCT